AGAAGAGAGAGGACGAACCGACGAATGTTCTTGAGTCAGAAAGGCTACATTGAGCGGGTTATTGCTAGGTTCGGGTTGCAAGGTGCAAAGTCGGTGGTAACTCCATTGGCTCCACATTTCAGGCTCTCTGGTAAACAGTCTCCTACTACAGCGGAAGAAAAGGTACGCGTGGATCGTGTGCCTTATACTAGTGCAGTTGGCAGTTTGATGTATGCCATGGTGTGTACATGCCTAGATATTTCACAGGTGGTTAGTGTGGTCAGTAAATTCATGGCGAATCCGGGGAAGGCACACTGGGAAGCTGTGAAGTGGATCCTGATGTACTTAAAAGGTACTGCAGATACGAGTTTATATTTTGGTGGAGATGCATGTCATATAAGTGGGTTTGTGGACTCGGATTATGCAGGTGATCTAGATAGACGACGATCTACTACTAGATATGTGTTTTGCATACATGGTGCCCTAATTAGTTGGCGATCGATGTTACAGGCTACAGTTGCTCTTTCTACTACAGAGGCCGAGTATATGGTCATGGCAGAGGGAGTGAAGGAAGCATTGTGGTTATGGGGCTTCTAGATTATTTGGGGATTGAGCAGGATTGCGTGGACTTGTGGTGTGATAGCCAGAGTGCGATTCACTTGGCTAAGAATCATGTTCATCATGCTCGAACCAAGCATATTGACGTTAGGTATCATTTTGTGCGTGATGTTATAGAGGAAGGTGATATTTCACTCTCGAAGGTACACACAAATGAGAACCCAGCTGACATGTTAACCAAAGTAGTAACGGGTAGCAAGTTTCAACATTGCTTGGACTTGCTTCACATTAGTCCATGTTGATATACCCATGTGGGCATGGCCCTTCAGGGTGTGATTGAAATGAGGTGGAGAGTATATGAAGGTGGAGGTGAACTACGGAGGCTTGATCCCGAGTTTTGGGTACGTAGGCAATCATGGTTTGAATGATGCAGCCGAGTCTTGGTGCTTGCTACTTCTTCTTCTTGTGTTCGTCCAAAATTTGAGGTCTATCAAATGATGTACGAGGTGGAGAATTGTGAGAAGAAAAGAAGCTGAGAAGAGAAGAGAAGCTGAGAAGAAGCAAGCAGTGCCTAGGCGCTGGAGTGGGCGCCTAGGCGCCATGTCCAGGCGCCTAAGCGCCCCGAGTGCAAAATTCAGTAGAAACGCGCCCCGATAGGTATTTATATTGCCATTTTTTCCCTCCTTCATTAAGTTATATCCCTTGAGCCCGATTTTAGAGAGAAAATTGAGAGAAAACTTGGAGAGAATTTTACAAGATTGAAGGTTGTTCATCTTGGGTATAAATTCAAAGTTATTTTCTTTCTTGAAGATTAACTTGAGGCTTGTTCAAGTAATCCAAATACATGTTCTTCATTTATTCCATCGAAATCATTTCTTCCTCATTTTCTTATTCTTGAAGTGGTTTGGAAATTTTCACATTTTCAACTTTGTTTGATCTTTGGGCAAAATTTGGGAGGTGTTTTCCCAACAACATGAATCCTACATCTCTTCCTGTTCTTGAAGATTATAATTTTAAGATATTATAAGAAAATCTTGGTTTGTACCTCAAAATAATCAGATAAGGTGCACGTGTGAGAGTTTCTCCTCGTAAAGCATATAGTTTACCTCTTATCCTGTGAGTATTATAAACCAATGAAAAGAATCAATCAATCACCAATGCACCCAACAGAAGCTCGAATACTCCAAAGAGAACAGATGAACTAGTTAATTACCTCGTCTTGCTGTGATTTCTTCCCCGACTGCTGGGCCTCTGCCTTCTTCCGAGCTGCATATTCGGCCGCCTTCTCTTCAGTCGACACCACCACATCCTTAGCAGCAGCCAGTTTCTCACCTGCATAGCCAACCACAGTATGTGTAGCACCTGCTACCTTCTCGCCTGTGTATCCTGCAACACTGGAAGTTACACCAGCTACTTTCTTCGTGGCCTCCGCCGCCACTCCCGCTGTAAGGTGTGCAGCGCCCCAGCCAGCCACCGCCGCCTTTTCCTTCACTGTCCCAGCTACCTTCCCTACATACCCTGCAGCACCTTTGCCGGTTTCCACAGTGACATCTTTTGCAGCAGCTGCTTTATCGCCTGTATTATCCTTGGCTTCCTTGGCTTTTTCCGCTACATATTGAGCAGTAGCGTGGCCTTTTTCTGCAACTACATCCTTTGCCTGCATGGTATAGTCTGCTGCTGTCTTGCCTGCACTTGCTAATGTGTCTTTAGCAGTGTCCTTTAAAACTTCACCCTTCTCGGCTGCATATTGAATCCCTTGAAGAGAAGTGCCCTTCGCTTGGCTTGCAGACTCTTTTGCCTTCTGCAATGCCGTCTCGCCTAATACTTTCGCCTTCTCGTACCGCTCCTCAGCTGCTCTAATCGCCTCCATAGAATTCTGCTGTGCCTTCGATCTCATGTTTGAAATCTCCTCCAGTGAAGCCTCCTGTCTTCCTTCACCGCCGCCAGCTTTTTCCTGCATTTCCTCCTTTTTCTGGCCACCACCATCTCTTGCTGTTCGCATTTGCGCGCCACCTTTATCCGTTTCAGCCCCTTCTTTACGATATTTTCTTCCGGCCGACATACCAGAACCCTCATGACCTTCAACTTTACCAGCAAGTGACACAAACTCGTGAGGTTTTTCTTCATGCACTCTTCCGCCTCTCGCCTCTCCACAGGCCGGAGTCTCTGTCTCAGCCGCCCCACCATGCAGAACTGGAACCTCGTCACCTTTTGCCTTCACGGCGAGAGACTCGAAATGGGTAGTCATTTTCGGCACTCTATCTTTCTCCACCTCAACATTACGTTCATCAGTAACATTCTCTTTTCTCAGCTTCTCAGACGCCATTGATGATCTTTTAGTGTATTTTTACTGAAACTGTGTGTGTAATTAGATGGAATTGTGGGAATTCAGAAAGGAAGAATAGGGTATAAAAACAATTGGCGAAGGGATTTGGCGGTTCAAAATCGATTAGTGTGAGTTGAAGATTGACATGTGGTGCCTCAGCTCATGCAACGTGTCAGTGTTTCAAAGGGTTGAATTTGGTGAATAGGCATCAGTGTAACTCAGTTGGACACGTGTCATATTGCATGGATCACGGCTAACTTACTTGGTCAAGAAGATTGGCCTTCAAACTATAGTATTTTTTTTTAATGATTTTATGAAAATCAAAAGTTTTCATTTAAAAAAATAATAATTGAAAATATTTAAAACACACATGAACTAAAAGGAAATATGAATTTAAACATTCTATGCCAACTTTATTTCATTTTTAGTGTAAAGATAAATGTTGTTTTGAATTTTGTAACTTTAAGAAAATTAATGGTTTGAGAAAATGCTATTAAATCAAGCTGTGTAAAATATTTGATGAATTTTAATATATACATAATTGCTTTTTGTTGATAGATGGAATTTGAAAGTAAAATTTAGGAAAAGTTCCAGTAATTTTTAAAATGGCAGTGTCACTCTAATACCATCTCCTGTATAACAGTTGATTGCTAAAAAACTTTGCCAAGTAAACAAAAAATAGATTGTGTGTATATAAAAAAATAACTTTGTCAAATTGATGTTGCAAATGAAAACATAGACAATGTTTAGATGGAGGTATGAATGTATGATAGACATTGAGGTATATAAAATTATATATTTTGTGGAAAATATTGTATACCTTCACTTCCATATCTTGGTTTGATTTAAATGATTTTCATTTTGAGGAAAATGAAGTACACCTTTTTTTCTAAAACAATAAAATACACCTCCTTTTCGAATTTTTTAATTTTTACCATACATCTAAAAAAAAAAAAAAAACCTCCTTTTTTTGTTGTATAAACTTTTATAAAAATATTTATTTACCATTCCAAATACAAAATTCTGATTTTCTCTATCAAATTTTAGAACCCTAATGGTCTAGCTAATACTATGGATCACCAATCCAAGTCCTGCACCAAGACCACCCTTGCCATCGGACAGCCTCCGCCATCACGGTTCCAACATGCATTGCCGTCCCACCACCATTTTTTCCCCATTTGCACCAATTTGATCTAGGACAAATTGGTCATATTGAATAAAGAAGTATCAGTACAAATAAAATATCTTAATTCCGGATTGGACTCATAAGACCATTCTGAAAAAAGAACGATGAGAGGATCATCGCTATGCCGTGATGTACGATGAATTTTGGTCATTCGAGTTCATTTAGGACTCGAAAATTGATCTTTAAAGTTTTGGCGTTATTTTTGTCAATTCATTTATTTTGGATTTTTTACAATTCTAGTTTGTTTAAACTTTGTTTTCATTACTTTTAATTGTTTTAAACTACGTTTGTATGTAAACCCTGATAAATAAGGGATTAGTTCTTTTTTTTATTATCATTCATCAATAAAATTCGTGAAATTTATTTTTCTTCTTAATATGGTGGATTCCAAATTTCGTAATCTCAAGGTTTTCGCTTGAATTTATTTTTTTCATTGTGTCAAGTGGTATCAGAGATGACTTTCCCATCTCTATATCTTTGATTCATAAACATGAGTGACGTAGTAGTTACTAGGGTAGATTTAGATGCAATAAATCGACGGCTTGATGAACAGATTGACAATCTTACTACTCAGATCTAAGAAATTCATCAATTGCTTTTACGGGGTGCTGGAAATAATGGGCAGAATGAACAGGGGCCAATCAACAATGAACGGATGGCTGAGCCTGTAGTTTGGAGAGAAAATAATAGGACGCGTGCAGTAGAAGATAGTGAATCAGAGTCAGAGGAGGAGTTCGAAGTATCGTCGTATCATCCTAATCATCAAAATCGAAATACCTTTGATGATTATCGAATTAAAGCAGACATTTTTCAATTCTTTGAAAACATGAAGATCGAGGATTTCTTGAATTGGTCGGTAGAGGTGGAAAGATTCTTCGAAATTATGGAAGTTTTGGAGGACAAGATGGTTAAGATGGTGGCATTCCGTTTGAAATTTGCGGCAGCAGTATGGTGGGATCAATTACAGAATGCTCGAAAGAGACAGAGAAAGAGTCGAATTCGAACTTGGAGAAAGATGAAGCAGTCTTTGATGGATCGATTTTTACCCGCAGATTATGAACATATTTTATATCGTATGTACCTAGGATGCACATAGGGCAATTGTACAGTGTCAAACTACACCAATGAATTTATGAGATTGGCGGATTGGAATAATCTGTCAAAATCTGAAAATCAAAGGGTAGCCAGGTATACCTATAGTTTTAAGGTGGCCATTCAAGATAGAACCGGGATGCAAAATATCTGGACATTGCAGGAAGTCATTAACATGGCGATGAAAGTGGAGATGATGAAATCTAATAAGAGGATAGTTTTGTATAGGAGGCCCTTACTTAGCGAAACATCATCATTCGCTCTTTCAGACAAAGGAAAGGCCCCACAACAAACCTTAGTTAATTCTAACTGGAGTAAGGTTGACAACAATGGTTGATTTGGGAACAAAGGTTAGACTTAAGGCGCACCTTAGAATGCAAATTCGTATGCTAAGCCCACAGGAAAAATTTGCTATAGATACCAAAAGCCTGGGCATCATTCCAATAATTTTCGTGAGAGGAAATAGGCCAATTTGGTGGAACTTGAGATAGTGTACGAGCAGAAAGATACTGAAGTGGAAGATGAGTATGCAGGAGTAGAGATTGCTGTGGAAGAAGGAGTAGAAAGGCTCACTTTGGTACTACAACGAATCATTTTGTCACCTAATGAGGAGGGACAGCTTTATTATATCTTTCGTTTACTTTGTTCTGTCAAGAATAAAGTGTGTTAAGTGATTGTGGACAATGGAAGTTGTGAGAATTTTGTGTCAAAAAAGTTGGTGAATTTGTTGAAACTATCTGTCAAGAACCATCATAAACCTTATTCACTTGGTTGGTAAAAAGAGGTCCTTCTGTTCAAGTTGCTGAAACATGCAAAGTACCTGTTTCCATTGGGAAGCATTATAAGGATGAAGTTATGTGTGATGGCATGATGCTTGCCATATCCTATTAGGTCGTCCATGGCAGTTTGATGTAGATTCAACTCTCAAAGGGCGTGATAATATAGTACTCTTTTCATGGGCCAGTCATAAGATCGCTATGGTTCCTCTCACACAGGCGGAGAAGCCTACCCATCAACGAATTTAGAGTTTCCTTGTCCTTACCAATACTAAGAAGGAGATTACAAAATCTGTAAGAGAATTTGATTATTTTTATCCAGTTATGGTTAAGGGGCTTTTTACAGTAAATAAGGAAGATGAAGGTGTTCCATTTAAAATACAAGAGAATATTGATAGAATTTGAACACTTGGCTTCCCATGAACTGCCGAATGAGTTACTCCTATGAGGAATATTCAGCACCAGATTGATTTGGTACCCAGGGCTAGCCTTCCAAATTTGCCTCATTACCGAATGAGTCCAAAGGAGAATAAGCAAATTGAGAAGCTACTGAGAAAAGAGTACATAAGGGAGAAAATGAGTTTGTGTTAGTCCATGTCCTTTTAGTGCCAAAGAAGGATGGAAAATAGCGTATGTGTGTTGACAGTCGCGCCATCAACAAGATAACAGTAAAGTACAGGTTCCCCATTCCACGGTTAGAGGATATGTTAGATATGCTTGGAGGTTCTAAGGTATTTTCAAAAATAGATCTTCGTAGTGGTTATTACCAGATCCTTATTAAGCCCGAGGATGAATGGAAGACTGCCTTCAAGAGTAAAGAGAGACTTTAGGAATGGTTGGTGATGCCATTCGAACTTTCAAATGCTCCAAGTACCTTTATGAGGATAATGAACCAGATTCTCCGTCCTTTTTTATCGGGTCTTTTGTTGTGGTTTATTTCGATGATATCCTTATTTACAGCAAGTCTAAAGAGGATCACCTAGTTCACTTGATGCAAGTCCTGAAGGTTTTGAAGGAAAATCAGTTATACATCAACTTGAAGAAGTATACTTTATGTACATCTAAGTTATTGTTTTTAGGCTTTGTGGTTGGTAAAGATGGTCTAGGAACAAGATGAGAGCTTCGCCTTCATCAAAGAAAAGTTGTGCACAGCTCCAGTATTAACTTTGCCAAGCTTCGAGAAGATTTTTGAGGTAGAGTGTGATGCTAGTGGCATTGGTATTGGGGTTGTCCTTTCTCAAGAGAAGAAACCTGTGGCTTTCTTTTCAGAAAAGTTAAGTGACGCCAAGCAGAAGTGGAGTACCTACGAGCAAGAATTTTATGTTGTTGTGAGGGATTTGAAGCAATGGGGACACTATCTGGTACACAATGAGTTTGTATTGTTCACTGATCACCAAGCTTTCAAATTCATTTATAGTCAGAAACATCAGCAGGATGCATACTCAATGGGTGACTTTCCTCCAGTAATTCCCTTTTGTGATTAAGCATAAATATGGAAGTACAAACAAAGTTATAGATGCATTGAGTCGGAGAGCTTTCTTATTGATCACATTATCACAGGAAATTGTTGGGTTCAAGTACTTGAAAGAACTGTATGCAGATGATCCTGACTTTAAGGAGATTTGGAGCAAGTGTGTGAATAGGGAATCAATGGTGGATTTTTATATTAGTGATGGATATTTGTTCAAATACAACCAACTTTGTATTTCAATTTCATTTCTACATGAAACGTTAATTCGGGATCTACATGGTGGAGGTTTAAGTGGGCACCTGGGGAGGGTGACAAAACAATAGCCAGTTTGGATGCTAGGTATTATTGGCCACAGTTGAAGCAGGATGTTGGAATAATACTTAGAAAGTGTTATACTTATTAGGTGTCAAATGATCAAGTGCAAAATACTGGGTTGTACATGTCACTTCCTGTCCCTCAGGGCATATGACAATATTTGGCTATGGATTTTGTTTTGGGATTTCTTCGTACTCAATGGGACGTAGATTCTATTTTTGTGGTGGTTGACAGGGTTTTCAAAATGGCGTACTTTATAGCTTGTCAGAAGA